CAGCCAAGGACTTCTGGATGATATCACGGATTATCTTGTGGGCCGATTCTGGATTGTTGTAGTGGCGGGTGATGGTAGCGCCTTTGGAGCTCATCTCGTGCCAGACCTCCCCCTTTTCCGTTCGACCTTCCATGCGGTAACTGAACTTGTTGTCGTCGTTCCTGAGGTCATCCCACATTGTTGTCGCAATGATAACCCTCTTGTAGGCATGCTCGCCGAGAATGGCCTCGAGAAGACGCGTTCGCTTCCGTTCGTTGCCGCCGATTCTGGTGGACGTGATGGGATGAAGGAGGATGAGGCCGTCGAGGCGTTGTTGCTGGCTTCCGAGACCTTTGTTCGATAGACCCTCGGTGATGATCCGCAGGATGTCGATGTCCGACCTCGTATCGTCGTCAAAGCCCGGGGTGTCAACCAAAACGATGGTGTAATCGTCAAGCTCGAACCTCACCACTTGGGTCTCTTGGGTACCTGAGCATTTTTTCTTTGGTTAGCACACGGAACAGGAATGAGGAGCTGCCTCGGAGCCGCGTCGGGACTGGGTTGTCATACATGATTTCAGGGTGTTCCCGATCTCCAAATCGGTCCGGCCAGAAGCCAGCGAGGCAAAGGTCGTTTTGCCCGCGCCTGTCATGCCGAGCAGCCCGATCAGGATCTCCTTTTTGCCTTCCATCGTCTTACAGCGCCGAAAAGGTGGCAGATTCGAATGAAAGATTGTATGCGGGAAGGCGGCGGTCGTCTGCACGGCAGCAGTTAGTAAAATCCAATCCTGGGTCTGAAACCCAACTCATGGATTTTCGCGGCTGATATCCATCTCTCAGGACTTGGACTGCAGTATCGAAAACCCAAAATCACAATGAGTCACGAGGACAGTGACGAGGCAAGGCAGGCTGGGTTTCGTCGGGCCTGGATGTTCGCAAGTTCAAGGACGGGCCTTGGGTGCCCGATAAGGCAAGGTAGCGAGCAGCGCGGCGCCGGGCATCAATCGCCTCGTTTCTTCTCCATGCGTTTTCCCTCTTCAATTCCATGTTGTGAGCCTTGAGGTGAATGCCTGCGCTTGGGCGCAGTTAGGCTTGCACCCGACCCTCCAGCATTTCGCCGACACGTCGGGAAGTCGGATGCGTTGGCTGCATATTTTCATTGGTTGATAACAATGTGGAAGTCGCGATTGACCCCCAACCGACGTCACGGCCCGACCTGACCTGCCTCCTGACACGTCCAAATTGCGAACGGCTTGCCAACAGGTTGATCATTTTGAGCGCGATCAACAACCTTCGGCTCATCACCAACCGGCGCGCCATCCGCATAATATCAGCATTTCCCCCTCCGCTCCGGACGACGACAGGCCGGCAGTAACATCCCATCCCTGCACCTCGAGTCCGGGCTCCAGTCCTTGCACATAGCGACATGGCCTCGCCAGTCACACTCCTCCTCATTGGCCCGACTGGTTCGGGAAAATCTTCCTTCGTGAAGAGGGTAGCAAAGCTCAAGAACGGTGATATCCAAATTGCGCATGGAAATAAAGCATGTAAGTGCAGACCTACTTCTGTCCCATCCCTTCAGGCCCCTATTCAAGTCCCCAAGCCGGACTGGGACGATGACGTCGCCGATCACTGACCCGGGCCCAACCCAAGGTACCAACCGCTGCCAAGAGTACACTGCCATGCATGGGGGGGTCAAGTTCTCCATCATCGACACCCCGGGTCTGCACGACGAACCGAACTCGAACCTCCACGTCTTGAAAGAGATCGCGAGTCTCTTGACAGCAAAAACCGGCCGAAACGGACAGCCTCTGGTCACCGGGGCAGTATACTTCCACCCAATCACCCAGAAACGGTTCACCGGCCCAAGTAAGCTCAACCTCGACGTCTTCAAAGCAATATGCGGCCCGGAGTTCTTCCGACGGGTTGTTTTCGTCACTACCATGTGGGAGACGATCAAGCCAGGGAAGTTGGCAATATTCGAAAAGCTGAGCGAAGAACTGAGGAATGATACCTTGGATCTGACCGGGGAGGGAGGGCCGGTCTATGATCTTAAGGAGATGGACCAGGATAAGATAGACTTTGCAGTGCTTCAACACTTCATGGCTGTTCCTCGCAAAAACCATCGCTCGCTGCTGTTCGAACGGGAGATTCTCAAACCCGGGAAGAGCAATTTCAAGAAGACCACAGCAGGAGTGGTGATAAAGAAGCAGGCAAACAGTGGTTCTTGCGTGATCTTGTGAAGATTCGTCATGTCAAGTTCTAGTCTAATGTTGTATCAACTTGCATTGAATACCAAGTCGCAATCACTGACGCTGGGCTCGCCCTAGCAGTTTCCAATGGAATGGCTGTCAAGACTGGAATTTCGGTGATCTGATACCCCTCCTTTCGTGTGCCGGACTCCTCGGACAGAGATGGAAAAGAACGTGGGATTGCTGAGCACACAGAACCACCAAACTCACTACAGCATCACTCGTGCTACTGCAGCTGACATCAAAATCTCGTACTGTGACAGCCTTGAGCTTCTTGGCTTCTACGGGGATACTCATGTGGCCATCATGCACATTCCCCCCCTTGCCAAATTTCCATCCTCTCGCCTTGTCTGCCTCAAAACAACTTCCCATCTCCTCCGCAGGCCTAGCTAGTTTCCCTCTCGATAGCTCCTCCCTTAGATCGATGACATGAGACATGCCGTGGGCCAAATGCAAAACGCCGCCAGCGACCTGAGTGCCTTGCAGCAGTGACTCCGAGAGACTGCTCCATGACTCGAAGACCGACCCGCTACGACGCAGTGCCTCGTGGGGCTGCTGAGCAGGAGCGAGCCATCGAACCTGGGACCTCAAGTTGGAGATAATCACGTCCAGTCAGTCTTTATAGTGGTTAATGAGCGTGAGAAGAGAACGGCCGAGGTCTGGTCAGTAGCATTGTAGGTTGACCCGGATTCTCCGGACGCTACGGGAGATGAGTAGATGCTGAGAGATCCCTTCAAGCCGTGAGAGAACGACAGGCGATGATCGATGCGAACGCATTCGATTAAAAACCGTGAGCTGAGGTCGTGGAAACGACGACAAACAAGTCGGCAACTCTTGATGTCGTTCTGCTTTGGGTGGTGGTAATGGTGATGGGCGTGCTTCAACTTCGCGCACACGTCAGTAAAGCTGAAGATCATAACAAGAAGCTCATCGAGTAGTTTCATTATCGGCGATCCTCCCTGGTCTGCGCTCGCCATTTGACCGGCAATCAGGCCGGGGTGGTCAGGTACCATAATCTCGAGATTGGAGTCTGCGAGGATCTTGCTCTGCGATGCCATCTTGTTCAGAGATAGATGTGTAGTCTGTCGAGAGTGTGATAGCGCGAGCCAATGGGCATCGAAAGCGGGCGAGGTGAAGTTGCGCTTCTGGGCCACTGGCTTCGCCCCCCATGCAGCGCCCCTGCCATGTTTCCCGGGCTCCTTCCGCCAGCTGCACATTGCAACTCTCCTCTTCGACACGACAGCACCCCACCACGCGCAGCAGCCCAGTCCTTGTGCAAACCAGCTCACGCGATGCTAGCACTTTGCTCCTATTTCCCGACCTCTGTGTCCTGCAACTACTCGCCCGTCCGTGTTTGAGGCAGTCGCGACACATCTCTGACTGGCCCGAAATTTGGAGCTCGCCCGTTCGCGATCACCTTGGTACGTACTGACACGACTGACGCGCGAGGACAATGAGTCGCACTCCGAGTAGCTAACGAGGACGGCAGATTCACATCGATCCCTTTGAAACGAAGCCTGCACCATGGCGCCGGTATCCGAGGACACGAGCCGCACCATTGACGTCGCGGAGGAGGAGTTGAGGCTCGCGAAGAGACAGCGACGGACCGAGAGAGAGAGCAGGAGACTACCGCCACGTTGGCAAAGCTTCTCACCGCCAAGATTGACGAGCTTCTTGCCACCAGAGACGACATGGCCGCCAAGGATGTTGGTATGATGGCCAAAGTCGCCGACCTGGAGACCATGGTTGCCAACCAGAAAGCTTTGCTCATCTCGAAGGACAGAGATCTGGCCAAGTCATCATCTACCATTGCTGAGCTGGAGGGCAAGCTCACTAAGGCAAGGAGGGATCTGAATGTGGTGAGACGGGACTTTCGCGCTGAAAAGCTTGAGCTTGAGGAGGTGGCTCATAACACGTCTTCGACCGGGCAGCCTCAGAAGAAGCGTCGCCGATGGAATGGGAGTAGCATCGCCATCGAGGAGGATAGACTCTGAGTCTAGATGGATCGCGATACTATCATGTCAGTTGCAGCGAACTCTTGGCTTCTCATGTTTACCAGCTGGACCACAGATCAATACCCATCCCCCCCAAACACCAGATTTGAACCATGCCATAGATGTGCAGACCCAGAAACAAGGACAGCGGTAGAGATGAGCCGAGACCAGAGCCCACCCCGGGATGTCACTGACAACACGATGCAAAGGCCGAAGTCAACACCCTTGCGAGTCAGCCCCTGAGAAGACAACGGAGGAACAGAGGAAGCTCGCGCCACACGTGAGACTATCCCGAGCGTTACCATAGAGCCGGTTGAAGCTCAGAATCACGCTTGAGCTCGCGAATGACGCAATCTGGCCGCGCGAGGGGCCAAGAGCTTGCGCGCAGTTGGCTGGGAGAGCCAACGGGGAATGTGCTCCACTTCGCCCGGAGCGCGAAGACCGGAGCGAGGGGATCGGAGCATGGTGGAGGTCTGTTTCATGCCGGTCTGGCTGCTCTAATAAGGGCCCATCGACGGCGGAGATGCAAGGATGTTGATGGAGGCGCAAAGGTGGTGCTGAGAGGGGCATGTCCCGCGAAAAGACTCCGGTGTAGTTAAAACATCGAGGCAATGGCAGACCAGGGCGGTGCCCGGGATGGTTTTCGACACAATGGGACATAGACATGATGATGTGGGGAGAGCCTGTGCGGATGGCGACGCCAAAGGTTTCTGACACGTGATTCCTTTGCCTCAGGGGGGGGCACAATCTATACCAGTTCTTTTGAGGCACCAATCGGGCGAGTAGCGTAGTGGTCAGCGTGTTCCTGAGCGTAATCAGCGTTGTATTTCCTCCAGCGTTTCGCTAAAAGTCCCGGGTTCGAATCCCGGCGCGCCCATACTCCCTGCTCTCACGGGCAGAACATCTTTTTTGGCGGTTTTGGTGGGTTGGTGGCGTTTTGGAGGTGTCGTCACACTTGAAGTTTAAGTCCCAGACAAGCGAACGTTACCACCTTCAAAGACGCGAGGCCGTGGGGGTGTAGAGCCACCCTTGGGCGTCCATGCAAATGGTCACAGTGCCATTACGGAACACAGACCTCGCGAAAATCTGCGAGGGTGCCATAATCACGTGTTTGTCACGTGGTATCCTGGTCCGCTGACCGTTTACCTGCCTGCCGTGCCGAACCCCCTTGGTTGCGCGATCAGCGACAGATGAGCGCCAGCCGCTTTGCGTGGCCCGACTTAGATTCGGTGGTCTCATTGGCGCTACATCACCTCTTCTGCCCCTCCGCATTCGCGCGGGGAATCGCCAGCGTCAGGTCGGGTAGTCTACGTGGGGCGGATGGCGTGCACTATTTGGATCCGGTTGAACCGTCCGGTTGAACCGTCTGATCTTCGTCCATCCGAATCCAACCGATGTTCCAGCAAGAGCCAGGAGCATGGACTCGCGATTGCTTTGTTTACATGCCCCTTTTTCAGCCTGCTGACTAATCGTTTACTCCGCACATGACCTCCCACCATCACCAACGGCCGAGGTTGGCCTAACTGTGAGAGCAGATAAGATGGGATGAAGGTGACTATTTATGAAAAACTCTGCGCGTTTGTGTTTGACAGCATCGGATGGAAGCCCAGCCGTGCCTTCCTCGCCTGATTTTCACCGCTCGACGCCTCCTTGGGATTTTCTCGACGTCTCTGATTCGTCAATTCTCCTCAGCTCCTCCTCACCATGCAACAAAATACCGATTCATCCGGTCAAGTGGGATTCGCAATGCGCATTTGAGCTGAATTAAAGGTTGGTGGCTGACCGAGGCGAGTTTTTCGACTTCGGATGAAGTGTCACAGGAGCAGCGCGGAGGTGAACCCTGATGGCCCTTGGTTCGCATATTTAAAGCCTTCCCTCCTCCCCATCCACCTTCCACCAACCTCTTCCCCGAGCCTCCCACTTGCAAAAACCGAAGGACGAACCCTAACAAATAAAAAGTTGCGCATACAGCAACGTCATAGCAGAAACCTCGCCGACCCGTCTTACACTCCTGGTTAGGTCGACCGTTTACACAGAAGAAGCCACGATCGGCTGCGTCAAGAGCTGAAGAGTCCTGCGCCTCCAGGTTACGTGTGCAGCAGCGGCTGTAGATGTCCCCGACTTGACAGTCCCGCCTCTCCCATGCAGCCCCAAGACCGAGTTGAATGCTTACTAATGTTTGACGTACGCAGGAGCATCAGTCATTTCTCTGCCCCGCCAGCACGATGGAAGAAACAGAGCACCCAGAGCCGGTCTCCGATACCGAAGTCACGGAGTTGGACGATAGCCTTGGCATATTCATGCTAGAGGTACAACAGATGATAGCAAGCCGGGACAGAGAGGCCAAGCGCCGTGGCCGCCGCCGCGCACGTAACGAGACACTCGCAGCGTTAGATCGCGAGCAGGATGCCGTGGCTGAAAGGGACCAGTTTTTCAATGCGTTGCGCAAATCAAACATCCGTGTTGCCGAGCTAGAGGCACAGCTCGGCGAGTCAAAGGACAAAGTCGCGGAGTTGGAGAGGGAGAACGCGGAGTTGAAGGAGAAGCTCGCGGGTTTGGAGATGTAAGGCGTGCAGTCCAAGAGAAAATTCGCAGAGTTGGAAGCTGAGAGGGATGATGCGATGAAGTCAGCGAGATCGGGATTGCACGCCGAGTGGTGGCGTGAGGGGCTGCGCCAACGAGGCGCCGACATGCCCGATGGTGAACCAGTGGCTAAAAGGCCAAGGACTGATAGCGAGGTTGCCGGCGAGGCTCGCAAGAATCCTTAAGCGATGGATCAATTCCATGGCTGTACATTATCAGCTACGGTATGGCAATTGGTCAGGAGCGGGTAAAGTTTAATTTCCATTTGTTTCACGGGAAAGGGGGTGCTGAGACAGGCGCAGCGGGCAATCACCAGAACATCATCTGGCGATATTTGGGCCATGGCATCGCGATTTAGCGGTGGGATTTGCGAAGGGCATGGAGGGATAGATGTTAATACTCGTCTTGGCTTGAAATGAATCTCATCTTGCCTTCAAACATTGCAAACTAGCGCATGCCATGTGGGAAACGAATCTTGTGTGTTTGCTGCATCGAACCAACTTGATCGTGCTCCTCCTTTCTCTATCCACCAACATAGTGCTAGAGTTGAAGCTGCCATGCAAGTACGGTGCCGTTGCCAACCAGGGGCAGGCACAGAAGTACCGGACTGTGCAACCAACGTATTTCACTTGGAAGGAGCGCTTCAGCACTCGGCAAAAACTCCGGCCCTCAACTTCAGCCTTAACTTCTGCTTCCACTCCCATTCTCTCCACTTCTTGCACCCAACACAACCACTTATTTATCACTGCTCTTTCATTCTGCCCCTCTTCAACAAATCCAACATCAGAAGCACAGGCCGCAGATGATTTGTTCCAAAATCAACAGCGTGTCAAGGGGTCCCCATGGGTGCTCAGCGGCTCCCTGAAGGTGTTCAGAAACACCCCCAAGGTGTTTGTAACTGTTTGAAGATGTTTGATGACTCTCTGAAGGTGTTTGGTGGCTCTCTGAAGATGTTTCGTCGCTTTCTGGAGGCTTCGAGCTACCGTCAAACTGTTTCTTCTCAGCACATGGAAGGTAGGTATCGATGTAACCCGCAGGTCTCAGTAACATCCCCCCAACGGCACCTGACCATGTGAAAAGGCCTGGTTTTTCTCTCAGAGGGCCTCGCACGCATCGCCCAAGGCCTTACGGGGAGTCGCATCCCACTCTCATGGGTTGCCCCGGCCAGATCCAGTGTAGGCGGCCAGCCGGTTAGCTCTTTTCACATCTTCTTCGTCGGCGACCCATTGCGGTTTTTACGATAGTCAGCGGCGAATTGTGCAGGTCGCGGAAAGCATGACATGGTGTACTCGGCGTCGTTATCTCCGGTAACGGGCTCAGGCCCCGGCGACATGGAAAGGACGTGGATGACATCTTTGTATACGTCCTGTCCATCGAACGTGCAGTATGTTGTTGACGCTGCGCACTGGACGAGACTGATGGCCACCTCGGACATGGCAGCAGCCACGTTGTGACTTCTGCCCAGACGGACTGTAAGAAGAGGCGCATGCTCGCAGCGTCCCTTGTCAGGAAGACGCAAGTCATGATGAAATCATGGCCATTATCATCCCAATCCACGTTGCAGTCTTGGAGCACAGTTAGGTACCGATTCTTCACAAGTTTCCTTCTGTGGCTGATATCTCCATCGCTCCGATAATGCCCCGCACCTCTTGTAATGCCTAGATAGAGGCCAGGTGTCTACCGTTGGATGCCTCGATGGCCAAATCAGGATCGAGCATAGATGGCGACAAACGTAGCCACAGCTAATGTACTGCGGTTCGCCATACCGCCCTGTTGGTTTGCGTACGCCGAGGAGGACTGTGTACGCTAAAGAAGATTGTGATTGCCGGGAGGACTGTGTACGGCCGACTTGCGATCCTCTTCCACCTGGTCCAGTCGGCAGAAAGACCTCTGGCGTCTATCGCCACCTGTCGCCTGTCAGGATCGGCCGCCCCAAGTCTCATCTCGTTTTCCGCAGCCGCCTTCGTCAGCTCGCACTGCTGTGCTTGCATCTCGTGCAAGTGCTGCTGCTCCTCGAAGGGTTGCCGGTCCCTGTTAAGCGCAGCCGCTGTATTGTCCCGCAGGACGATGTACTCCTGCAACCTGGCATCTTGGTTCTTCACCGTGGAAGCCAGCGTGGCCCACATATTCCTTCGTCTCGTCAAGGACCTTCAGCCGGGCCGACAGCGCCATTTCTTTATTCGCAAGTTCGCGGCGCTGGGAGTCGAGACCCAGACGTGTCTGATGGTCCTTGTTTCTCTCCTTCTCGAGTTCGGCCTTGTTGGGCAGGCACCTTTGTTTTCGATGAGCATTCCCTGCGAGTGATCCGTCTGAGACCTGGAAAGGCTCTTCCTTCAAGGAAGCTGGTCAACGTGTCGGCAGCAGTCGTGGAGAATGTGCAAGTGAGGCAATCCGCGTGCGGGAAGAGCGTAGATGTCGGCAGAAGGCCCGGCGGGAACAAAGGCAAGCCGGCAAGGGCTCAGGGACCGATTCCACGTCGGCAGCAGCCCAGGCAAACATACAGGCTGTATAAATTCTGTTTGGCCGGATTTCTTTCAGCCAGCAAAGTGATGTCGGCAAGGCTGTCACCGTCCGGCGACCCCTTTAAGGGGTGGTAACAGGACAGGCAGATCGTGGAAGGGGTGGAAAACATCAGGTAATCTTTAAATCTGTTGATTTCCTATAAGAGTATAAGGATTTTCAAGCCAGTCTGATGTATGTTTTCTTTTAAACAGGATGGGCTGCTCATCCCGCCTTTGACACGGCTGATATTTTACGTGTGGAAACTTTAAGCTGTCGGCAGTCACCGCAGGGGCTGGCAAACCGTTAACGCTGGATTACATATCCTTATAGATATCCCCCTCCGTGGCAGCATTACCGCAGGTGTCCATCGGTAAGGTGATATGTAGATTTATTAATAATGGTCTGATAATTAACTAGTTATAAACTTATATATTTACTGGTAATCATAGTTATATTTATTACTTAACAACTTTAGTTCTTAATTACTTTTTTTTTATTAAATAACGCCTTGTTTATATCTTACTGTGGGTTCTTTAACCTTACGTTTTTAATTTACGATTAATATACTAATTGTAAATCCGTTTATAACTATATAAGTAGTTTTCCATCTTATCTATGCCCTGGTTGTTAACCTGTATTTAGCTAAATACGATACTAAAGTGTAACTTTTCGGAGTTAATGGCTTACATTTCTTTTAGCTGTTAAGTATATATAAAGGACGAGAATAAGGGTGAGTTAACATTTTTAGCTAACAATTACTTAAAGATTATTAAAGCTTTAAAAGTTTATATT